CAGCACGCATGCTTCTCCTTCGTTATCCTCTCTTTCTTCTTCCTCTTTCTCTTTATTTTTGAACTCATTGGCTAGTAAATAGTTATTAGCTACGACAGGAGGTAACGTACCGAACTGAATAGTAAGGGGCTGATCTGGATCTCCTCCATCCTTCTGTCTCGCTCAAACTTCGATCGCCCAGAAGTAGTTTCTAGCAACTCTTTCATTGATTCATCTGTACTAGTCTCTTCACTGTCTTTGAGAACATTTTGACTGGCTACCTCGAGTAGTTTAGGCGCCTTAGGACGTGGCACTCCATGTTGTTACCTCATCATTCGTCCATAATTTCATTGGAAACGCCTTTGTTAGGTTCTAGTCATCTCGTTGAAGGGTATCACCTTTCCTGCATTATATTGGAACGAATGCCATACATTTGGTTGGCAAGGTTACGGCCTGAATGTTCTCCCATTATTTACTGGCTTGAACTGCCTCTCAAAAGGCGGTCCCTTATAGAACGATGTACCTCACCCTCTACCAGGCTGAGCGTTTGGGAAGAAAGTAGGGCGATGAGGATGCTGCCATATCTCTGGTTTCTCCGTATTCTCACTCACTTCTCTTTTACATCTTGCACACAAGACGTCTTCATCCTTTTTTGGCTCCTTCCTTTTAATACGCTCAAAGACGCTGGGAAGTGGTCCAGGGTCTTTTTCTCCATCATCTATAACCAACTTGTTTTTGAAACCAGACGTCACCGTATTCACTCCAAGTGGCTGTGGAAAAGGATTTTCATCCACTGCCATCTTCTTCTTATCATCGAACGTAATTCGTCCTGATTCAATGGCATCTTATAACACATGGCGAAAAACTAAGCAATTGTTAGTCAAATGTGACCATGCATTATGCCACTTACAATATTTTTTACCCTTAATTTGTTCCGGGTTTGGCAATTTATGCTTATCGCTCAGTTTTATCTGCTTATCCTTATATAATTTATCAAATATAAGGTCATCTTTGATTACATCGAACGAGAACGTTCTAACTTTTATGTTTTCATCTTTCATAGGTTCATCCTTACCCGATGGTCTAGGCTGAGCCATTATAGGACAAGTATACGTGTCTCCTTTTGCTAATTCGGCCAAACATATTTCGGTCTGATCGTATGACTCGTTATTGATGATATGAACATCAAAATTTAGGTCTCTATAATAAGTCCCCTTACTAGAATTTTTTATCTGCTCTTCTTCTCTTATCAATCATTCATACATAATCACGTTCGCGCTCAATTGGAAAAGATCAGGAAATTTCTTGTCTTGAAATTTCTTTTTCAAATCAAAGCTCAAACAACCTTGAGCGATTTTGACAAACTCTTTTTCGGGCAAAGGTACAAAATATTTACTTTTTACTGTCTTGAACCTTTGGAGGAAACCTTCTGCCCATTCGTTTGGCATTTGACGTAGATTCGCCAAATCGGCTAAAGTAACTTTAGACTCGGTCTTATAAAACTGAGCGTGAAATAATTGTTCCAATTGTTGCAATGTTTGAACAGAGTTCGCTAGCAAATTGATGAACCAGGAGAAAGCTACTCCTGTTAATGAACTAGGAAAAAGCCTCATTTTATGATAATCAGTTACGTCACCACTTTGCAGTGTGAATCGCCCTATGTGTTCTAGAGTAGACACCTCCCCTAAACCGGTAAACAGTGAGAATTCTGGCACTTTATACCCTCTAGGCCACGGACATGCTTGGTCTACCCAATCAAGATATGACTTTGTGTAAGTCGGCCTAATGACAGGACGTACCCCAAAAGCCGTTTGATCCTATACGATTTCCATAATTTGATTCCTCAACATGACGTTGGGTCATATGGAATTCCTACAGATTGGTTAACCAGTTGATTTGTTTGAGGCCTGATGTTTGGTCCTTGATTGGCAACAAAGTTACCATGATTTGAGTCATTATTACCATTAGCCTGAACATTTATTCCCTTATTAACACGTGGGGTATTCTGCCCATTATTTAGGACATTATCTCTTACATTTGGATTACCACCCAAGTTAAGCGTACCACTACCATTATTGTGATTTGGCATTACACCATCCCCCTAGTTTGAAGTAGAGGGACCAAAAGGTGGTTCTACCCCTTGATTTGGATTTAGAACTGGGGGATTATATCCCACAATTGTCCTAGTTTGAAAGTGGTTTGCAAGAGGCATAACTGGTTGACATAACTTATTCATTATTTCGTTCAAAGTGTTCAGTTGTTGGCCATGTTGTCATAATGTGCATTCCCATTCTGAGTAAATATTTCCATATTATGAATATTTCGAAGATTTACTTGTTCAACAACATCTTGTGTGAGTTCTCCAAGTAGTGCACGCATAGTTCGAGGACTCAACTCTGTCATTGATTCGTAACAACTGTTACTGCTCTGATTCTGTCCATCTGTTCGTGGAGAGCTATGCTGCTCCTCATATCGCTCGATCACAGATTGGACTCCTCCCAGACTTGTTGCTTCCTTATCGGATCTCTGAGGCATATTGTTTCACCTTTTGTATCTTCAACACCAAACACCACTGTCCCACCGGGTGTGCCAAATTGTTTCGCGCGGGTTAGTCGCTAACAATTAAAAAGGGATCAGACGATTGTGTAAGGGATAAACCTCTTGAGACAAAGTCCCAAAAAGGGATGTTTTTATTGGCAATGACTTTACAATTGGAAAAAATAAAACAGAATGCCTCAAACGGGCGCAAGCACACGAGTTACTGAAAAGAAGTGTTTAAATCTAAACTAAGAAATTGAAAGTTACATATTCTCTGTTTGAGAGTGTTTGATTCGGGGGTCCTTTTGCTTTATGTCTTTTCTTCCTTTTATACTCTCTGGATGATTTCTTCGTGATCAACCACTTAAAAATTGCTTGATCGCTCTATAACTGCCCACTTTCTTCATAGTGGCCAACTTGTCATGGAACTGCCTTCTCTAACTACTGTCATTACTTTTTGTCGTTCAACCGTCTTCAATTGAATTTCTTGAATCGTGGAACGTGATAGGACTGCTCAATAACTGCTTCATTAACCACACTTTTGAGTAACCATAACATCTTATGTTTGCTAAGATCTTGGGCGACTCGAAGGTTTGGGTGAGAACAGGGTCACAGCTCTGGGCGACTGCATGGCAATCCATTCTCTCAAATCTTGGACGACTTGCAAGCTTGGACGATGGTATTACTGCATTCATGGGCTTCCCTATTTGGGCCTTTATCCTGAATTGTCTGATTGGGCCGTTGTTTGGGCTATCTGATTTGGGGATCCTCCAATTGGGTTTCATTCCTTGGGCTATTCGATTTGGGCTGAACTTTTTATGTGTCAACAATTTTCTTTCCCTATTTCGTCGATATAGATAAGTAAAATTCTTGTTAAAAGTTTTGAACATCTATAAAGGTCAGAAGCTAAAACGGTAGACTTTTCGAACAAAGATGGTAAGTCGAATGGAATATACAATTTCAGATTTGTTGCTTCTTTTGATGTTCTATCTAACTTTTGATTATCTTTTGGTAATTATAAATGATCTATTTTTCTTGTATATGCAGCAGTAATCCCTTATAATTAAAAGGAAAAGCTTAGCCACACTTTAATAGTGTTATTTGCTAAGAACAATGTAACAAAGACAATCAATTAATATAGATTCATCGAAAATCTGATTTAGATAGTTGAATTTTATTTTTTTTTAATGAAAAAATTGAAAACAAAGTACAGGACTTTGAATAGGGTTTCAATTTTGTTATCATATGGCGAAGTTATTTATTAACTATATAGCCTTAAGTTACTTAAAATTATGAATGTGGATAATGTTGGAAAATTGGACCGTTGTAATTAGCATCACAAGTGAATATTCCATTGATGGATAAGTATCGACTCGGATGGCTAGTTCGTCACATATAAAGGAGTTGATGATAGTATTATTGACGATGTCGATGATTGCTTTCACAGTAAATTTGATAATTAGTCAATAAGTGACTTCATAATAGCATCCTTTCTGTAAATGACAATTTATATATGAAGTGAAATTGACATAATCAATGAAAAAGTCCAATTCTGATGTCGTATTTTTATTATGATGATCAAAACTATCCTCAGGGATAAAATAATATTTTTAGGTGAATGAAAACTTGGAGTTTTTTTAGAGAAGGGGGAAGTGAAAGAACCTCGACCAATTAATTTTTTTTCAAGGGTCAACAAATTTAAATTTTAATAGATTTGGATAAAAAAAAAAAGTTATAAAATGTGCTGTTAAAAAAATTGATAAAAATTTGTGGGTCCAAAAAATGTGTAATTAAAATTAAAGACCCGTTGCCCCGTTTAAATCTAATCAAATTAAATTAAAATTTTCTCTCTCCTATTTTCACCTATATAATATTCAATAATTAAAATTAAAGACCCGTTGCCCCCATTAAATTTAATCAAATTAAATTAAAGTTTTCTCTCTCCTATTTTCACCTATATAATAATCAATAAAATAATATTACACGTAAATCGAAAACTTTTCATTCTTTTACAACCATCCAAAAAAAAAAAAAAACTATTCCCTCATTATAATCAAAATTGATGAAAGCCAAACGGGGGCTAATTGTTTAATTTGACAATTAACTTTTTGGGTTATTCTGAATGTACAACTTTACAACCCCTTCACATAAGGGGGTTCACGCTGTGAGTAGGCTGTCATGTTTGCTGTACACAAGACTCTTAACTTTTTAGCAACTTTTCAAACGTTCCCAAACAAGCACCAAGTTACTAGGAATATTCATTGAACAACCCAAAAAAGAAAATATGAGAAATCACTGGGAAAAGTGTTGGAAATATGTTTCTCTCCATGAATCCTTAAATTAATTTACTGATAAATGCAATTACACTTTGCACAGTACTAATGAAATTTCTTGTCACTGTCAGCAATGTCTTCAATAAATAATTAATCATTCCAATGAATAATAAACAAATAAATGTTATTATGAATTGCTGATTTTCTGGATCAGCAGAAGCTCCATAAACGAATATCATAACTATCTTCATATGAATCTTGAATCATCAATGGATCAAAAGACACCCCATTGAGCATATCATTGTACTTTGGTGAATCAAAGTTGTACCACTGAGCATCAAAAGAAGAACCCAAAGAAACATGAACTTCTTCTTCAATGTGACTGAAACTTGAAAATGATAACAATGTTGATGATGACGTGGAGGGAAGAGACTCAGGTGGTGATTGAGGGTTTAAATTTGTGGGTTTTTTAAGAAAGTTGGAATTATCTGATGCTGCTGCGGCTGCTGCAATTTTTTGGATGGATTTTGTGGACATTAAGATATTAGGATTAAGGTTTTCTTGTAATGAAGAGAGAGGGAAATTAAGGTTGGCTGAGGAACCTTTAAGGCACAATAGGGCAGCATCATATGCTCTAGCAGCTGCTTCTGGGGTAGAATAAGAACCTAACCAAATTCTTGTCTTTTGATTAGGTGCTCTAATTTCAGAAACCCATGATCCCCAACTTCTCATTCTAACTCCCTTGTACTTCTTTTTGCATGAAGAAGATGATAATGGAGTTGTACTTTTGGCTTTTTCTGAGCCTGATTGGATCTTGATTTGTGTCCTTTTCACCATTCTTGGAAAGCTGCAAGAATTAAGAAGTCTTCTTGGTGGAATTTAGACCTTGAGTCTTGATCTTCACACCACTTTAAGAATGCTATCGAATCTCTTGATCGGGAAACAAAAACCACTAATTTATTATCTCGAAAATGGCTCAGAAAAACCTATGATCAACGAAATCTTTGGATTTTCCTTCTCTTTTGATTTGAGGAGGGAATACAAGTTGTAGTGATTGTGCAAGAAAGGCAGGAGTTTGATATATTTATAGATGGGAACGAGGTGGGGTGGGGTGGAGTGGGTGAGGGGAAAGGGGAAAGGGGGGCCTTGATGTGATGAGAAGATCCATCTAGTCAAGGAATTGGTATGTTTACATGTAGCATGTTGGGTGACAGACATATTAATGTAGTTTTTATAACTAAAATAAAAAACAGAAGTCTAATTTTTCTTCCAATGACAAAGGTAAACCCTCTTTTTAAGCAAGTTTTAATTGACTGAATCTTAAATAGGCTCTTAACGGTGTTACAGCAAAACAATAATTTCTTGGAAAATGTCAAACAAACATAATGTTTGACACAAAGGATGACATCACACTCACAATCAAGGCGTGAGTCCCACGCGAATAAAATAATGCCGACCTCCTCATGTGTGTGCGATGTCAACCGTTGTGTCAACCTCTATATTCATGTAGCACGACCCTAATTTCTTTAACTTGGCATTTTTATATACTCTTTGTTCTTTCTTGAAGTCATACATATTCTTTCTTGGAGGAATAAACTGTTTCCAATTTAAATTCATATTTTCATAGTGTCAGAAATTACAACTTTTTTTGTTAATGTTAAAAATCAGTAACATATTATGTTAAGTTTTTTGTCAAAAATTGAATTACAAATAGCACATGAATCTTCCTGTAATATTTTAAATATCCTATATAAACAACTGAAATACATTTTTCATAATTGAACTTGCTCAACCACTCAACTGACAGAACATGCAACTAAAAAATTATATCGATATCTTCGTTTATAGTAGGTACATTTATGAAAATTCTGATCAAATCAATATTCTCAAGTTTTATCTATTAATTAATAGTAAATGGTGATACTTATAGCCTGTTTGGGAGTGATTTTGATAATTGATTTTTTGACCATTAGGAGAAAAGTGGGGTTCACCTGTGAGAGAATAAGTCAAATAGGACGACTGGAATAGTAAAATAACGGTCAAAAAATCAATTTTTTGGGAGAAAAAATTACTCCCAAATAGACTGTTAATTATTCTACTTTTCAGCTTTTCACTAAGAAAATAGTCATGTGCACAGCTGAGAGAAATGTCAAGATTTTCAAAACCCAACACATGGAGTCACCATATGCATCAATAAATAGAATGGATATATTAAACTATATGCATCAATAAATGTCCATTTTTAGAGTTCTTGACTTACACCACAAGTAAATATTTGTAGTAAAATTTGAAATTTTGGCATCTCATGAGCTGTCGAGTCATTTACCCACATGGGCTAATATTAATTAATTACTTTAATAAATAATATGTATAGACTCTTCATGGGAACATATATATTTTAATATTTTACAATATATCTGCATATGTACAAATTAAAAATTTAATGCATAATGAAAGAGAACATAGGATACTTATCAGGAAGCAGCTTCCAGGATTTTGAGAGAGAGAGAGAGAGGCTCACATGAGAATATTTTATAAAAACATATATATATTCTACTCACAATGCAAAATTTTAACATAGAATTAGGTTTTGCAGTATACAGCTAGGGCTTCTCTGTCATGCATGCAGCTTCAAATACGCGTTTTACATAACATAAACAGAGAAAAAGTTTCAGCATAAGTTTTCATGGACTGTAAGCTGAAGCCTACCTGACTTGACTTTTTGAACTCAAATTTTTTCAAAGTGCATGTTTTTCTGGAATTTGATGTGACTCATTGATAAAAAAAAAATATTAATCAACTTTCACGTTTGACAAAGGGTTATGTCACTTTGAGCAAATAGATTGTCGTGACAAAATGTGATTGGATAGAAAAGTTGAGTGTGTTTAACACAGTTTAATGATGAATTGTCATGTGACATTATATCAATGACTAAGTTACTATAGCACGATTCTTTGGCAAAAGTGTCATGCAAACCCTTCATTAATTCATCTTTGGGTTGGGAAAGTTCACTTTTTCATAGAGGATAAAAAGCGTATGCCATAAGCGGAGATGGAGGTACTTGGATCACAAGTTTCTTTAAGGTGGCTTTTAGGGTAAGATTGGAACGTGATTAAGATATATTTGTTGTATTAGAATGTACACAATGGGGCCCCTGTTTGATTCCCATTTTTGGGATAAAATACATTATGGAATAGTGATTTTTTGAAAAATATGTGATTAAAAAGTAATGAATTTTTTTTGAAATGCATATATAATTATTTTATAAAAGAATATGTTGTTGAAAATGCATTTTGAAAAAATGGGGGCTCAAACAAGGGTTGGATAGATAAAGGGTGTATTGGAGTCCCATTTTTTTTTTTTTATAGAGAAAATAAGTTTTGTAATAGTGATTTTTTTTTTTAGAATGTGTGATTAAAAAGTAAAGAAAAATTATAATTTACATGTAAAATTATTTTACTAGAAGAACGGATTCTTAAAAATAAAAAAAGAATCTTTGGAGAATGAGGCTCAAACTAGAACTTATAAAAATAGGAAAATTCTTGAAGTACAAAACCCTGTACTTATAGCATGTTTCGTAAGAATAATATGTAAAAGTTGTCTCTCTTTGGACTCATCTAATATTACGTTCAATCTACATAAATAAATATTCTCTATTTTACAAGAATATTTGTGTATACATCTACTAATCTAAAGAAGGCAAATGGCAAACGTCCCTTCAACTCTGGTAAATAGTTGTTCTGCGGTAGATTCATTTGTTTACTTTGACAAAAATTATTTTCTTTGATAAAGAAATACATAAAATAGGAAAACCTAAATGCACAAAGTGAAAGAAATTGTTGGGAAAGAAAGAATGGATATTGTAATACCTCGACAATTTTTGTATAGATACATACGACTTATTTTTAAAGTTTGTAAATTTTAAGACTTAAACAAGACATTTTAGTTTTCTAGGGACTGGAGTGACTTTTTAGCTGAAAGAAATTACTCAGGAAGTAACTTAATATAGTCTTAATATCATGAGAACGTCTATTTAAGTCATGAAAGATATAACAATATATCTTTATCCCCTGTTGGACCCAACAACAACAATACTTATAACATGTTATTCCTTATATTTTCTCGAATACAACGTAGATTGCACATTAATTCATTTAGTAGCTAATTAATTGAAAAGCATTGATTTCAATCATCGAAAACAAACATACAACATCAAAACCTTGAAATTAATGTTAAAATATCATAGCATCACAAAGCTACAAAAAAAATCATCTATAAATAATTAAACATCACCTGAATTTGAGAAATATAAAGAAAAAGATAAGCCATGAATTCTTGAATATACTCAAGCCTCCTTGATCAATCTTCAATTGCAGCTTCTTTTTACTTGCACAAAAAACTAATAATCTTCAAGAATGGTTCATTGTACCTTGCCTCTTAATTCCATTTAAAGAATAATTTTTTAACTCTCTAACTATATGATATGAGAGATGGTCTAATTGTTTGTGAAGGTTGGCATTTATAGAATAAGATTTTAGGTCAAAATTTGTGTTGTAATTGATTTCCAAAAAATGTTGAGAAGGAAAAGGAAACAATTCTTGTCTACTCAGTTCAATGCCATGTGATCGCATCATGTAGTCCACTTTTTATTTGTGTAGTTTGGTCCCTGGATTTTTTTTTCCCTTCAATCGATTTAAGCACTTTTCATATGCAATTTTGGTCCTTCTTCTTTTAATTTCATCCAATTTAATCCATACGATCTTTAACTATAAATCCTTGGTCCAAATCAACTTTTGAAGATTTATAATTTAATCCCCAATTTTTGTAACTTTTTTCTTTTTCGCCTTTCTTCGGCCGATTTTCATTTCTTTTCATCATGAGAAATCAAATTTGAGTTTATCCTACAAAAATTGATATTTAACTAAATTAATTAGTAATTTTATCAATTTAATTATTAAATATTCACTTGACGGCCCGGACAGGTGGATAATCACATCTATCAAATATTCCACTTGAACATTTATCCGTCCCAAACAAAATTAGTTACTTAATATAATAATAATAATAATAATAATAATAATAATAATAATAATAATAATAACGACGACGACGACATAGATAGTTTATTATTTCGCCTCACGTTTTTAAATCACATAAATTCATAATCAACTTTCAAATTATACTACCTAAATTAAATCATTTACTTATTTAATATTAGATCGATGTAGGTGTAAATAGTTAACTCTGTCACATCAAACTTTAATGTTGGTTATTTCTATACTTCAATAGTCAAATACTTTCTATCTTCATTCACAAAATGCACACCCCAAATTTATTCTTTATTTTTACTTTTGGAGTGTTTGTAAAAGTTGAATTCTCTTTGCCCATTCATTTATCGTTCAAGTTCAATTGGGTTTAATCAATGAAAGTCACTACCTCGATTTGCGATCACTCTCCCTAAATATTTGTGACCATTCTCCATAAATTTTAACTGTCTCAACCTCCAAATTTCACCTATCCTAGTACCCCTCATTAGAAATCTAAGTCCCCAATTGATAAGTGTCCAAGGCTTAATATCGAAGTGCGTAACTCTTTTTCTTTTTTTTTTTCACTTTTTTTCATTATTTTCTAATTTATAACTCAATTGTAGATAGCTACTTCGCTAAGTTGTCGATCGTGCGAATGATGGCAGCTTCTTCCTGTTGTTTCCTCTCTATCCTAAGGTAGGAAACACCACTTATTATAATTCGAACCAAACTTGAAATCACTTTGTTGAAAGCGGAATAACTGTGATACCAGTTTGTTGCGAAAAAAGGAAGATGATACTAGATTAAGCCAATGCCAAATTGTTGGAAAAAAAAAAAAAAAAAAGATAGATTAAACCACAATATGAAGTAATTGGTCACAAGAACACGTGAATAAAATAATTTGCAGAGAATGGGGATTTATTATAATATGGAGAAAGAATACTAAGATTTTGTATTTATAATTTGTTTAATTTGTAATGAGGTTAAACTACCCAACTAAATTGTAA